TATACTAAAAATACATGTACAGGCCATCTACTGCATTTTCATTTGACGCTATATTTTCGCGCCATTTGGTCAACCATATCGACGCCAAATTTTGTCTTATTATAATAACTAATTGTTCCGGGCTTTCTATTGTTTTTGACTTTTCCGCATTTATGTTTCGAACTTAATGTTGTGAATCAGATAAAAATCTTCGGCGCTTTAGTCCCCTACGGACATTCAAAATGTTTTCGGCTTCATCGACAGACACCATAACCATGCTGACTTTCCTCAATGTCTGGAAAATCATTCCCACTTTTACTTTGCTTATCCTCAGATATAGAATTTTCCCCGCCTGAACTCGCTTCGCTTATGTTTCGAATTCTTTCCAACAACTGTCTCACTGATCGATCGAGTCGTTAAGTGCTCACGCCGAAACCAAACACACATATGAAATTCAGATAAATGAAACTTAAGAAGTGTATTTAAGTTCAGAACCAAGGTTCCAGTTGCAGAACTGCAGAAAAATGTGTAAATTTCGCAAGGGGTTAAATGACCTCTCGTGGTACATAATGTATGCAAAGAATTTTTCTCGGTAAAAAATAAGTTAAGAGAAAAACGAAAAGCGAGAAATTAAACAATCAGAACATATAAGAAGTTACAGAAAGTCGAGCGAAAGAAATAACAATAAATGTACAATTATAAAGTAAATTTTGAAAAGGGTCATTTGACCCCGCTTGGTACGTTTAGTGTGTAAAGGGAGGAGAAGAAAGGGCTGTGTTAAAATGAGTTTCACACTCGGTGGCCGATTTGACTTTATTCTGATGTATACGATATACATACGCCGCTCTCGTCTCCCGCGTAAAACTTCCTCGGTCCGCTCCTCGAGCTGCCCTTATAAGGGTGGGTCTCCTTTGTTAATCCACCGCGAAGATCAAGTGGATCGCCGCTTCGATTTCAGATTCCGGTTATCACTGCTACTCGTCACTCTTACACTCGCATTCACTCCACCTTATCGATAATCGGAACTCGCATACTCTTACATACTCTTACAACTGTTAACCCTTTGCGCTCGAGGCCCGTTTCGCGCTGGTGATCCTCGGGTTCCCAGCAACCCGAGAGCAATTAGGCACTTGCGGTTATTTCATGAGTTCTTTAAAGTTAACTTAAAATGAAGTCAGACACAATGAAAGTTGTATATTTTGACATTATTTTATTATTTCATTATATATTAACTTTATTTTAAATAACATTATCTTATTATATATTAACTTTATTTTAAATAACATTATCTTATTATATATTAACTTTA